AATGAGAATTATTTTATTTCACTGTAGTGGTGGTTGAACTCAGGGCCTTTAAACTGAGCTACTTTCCCTATCCCTTTCTCCCCTGTCCTTTTCTGATACAGGGTCTCACTATGTTGCCTTGGCTGGGCTCATACTTGCCATCTTTCTGCCTCAGCCTCCCAGAGTGTTGGGATTACAAGTGTGTACCACCACTTCCAGTTCACAAGTGATAATTTAAAAAAATACCATTTATAAAGGCAACAGCAGAAAGGCATAGGAAAAAATGACAAATGAGTTTAAAGAGCTTTATGGGAATGTTATGAATGTTTTTGGAACACATGAAAGTAGGTCTACCTGGGGATATAGCTTAGTGGCATAAGCACCTGCCTGGCAAGCACAAAGTTCCGAGTTCAATCCCTGGTACCATACACACACACACACACACACACACACACACAAAAGCTTTTATTATAGACTGGGGAGATAGCTTGGTGGTCTAAGTGGCTGCCTGGCAAGCGCAAGGACCCAGGTTTGATCCCCAGTACTGCAAACCATGCCGTTGTACCAGCCACCAAAACCATGTATAGTGGTACACGCCTGTAATCCCATTGCTCAGGAGGCTGAGACAGGAGGATCACTACGAGTCTGAGTTACATAGTGAGACCCTGTACCAAATACATAAATAAATGAAAGAATAAAAAAAAATTAAAAAGTAGATCCGTGCTAGTGAAGACACTATGTTATACTTGGGAGTAGGAAGGCTTAATATCACAAAGATGTCAGTTCTCTCCAAATCAGGTGACAAATTTAGTGCAACTCTGAGAATTTCAAGAGCCTTTTTTTCTTTCTTCTTTTTGGAGTTTGATAATCAATCCTAGGTGGAAGAATAAGGGGCAACATGGAATAAGCTAATCCTGAATTTGCTCTATTAGATATCAACCTGGTGACACTGTGGCAGAGATAGACAGCCAGAAGAACTAAAAATGAGCTTTCACATAACGCTACATGCACATAGAAAAATTCTTGTAGGGACTGAACCCAGGCCCTCATATCAGCTATGCGTTCACTCTACCATCAAGCTACATGGGCTGTATCCTACAAATTTGGTGTAAGAACAGTCAGCGGGTTAATGGGAAAAGGACAATTTAAAAATGGTTGTAGAAACAACTGGTTACCCATATAAAATACTACATCAATCCAAATAGCTGAAAGACAAAGCCAGGAAAATCCACTGCTTAAAACTTTCAAAAAAAAAAAAAAAATTCAGCTTTATGACTTCAGGGTAAAAAAGCACTTCTGGTATAAAAACCCCATATCATATGACAACAAAATAAAATACCAACTAAGCAAAGTTCTTGGCAGACTCCTTAAACACAGCTTATTTTTCCAGAATGTAGAAAACAAATAACAAAAAGCCTGTGAATCAGTGACAAGCAAGATGGAAAGTATATAAAGTTGAAAGTTAAAGAGAAGAAAAAGTGAAAGGCCAAAAAATTTACCTTCACTAGTAATTGTAGAAATGCACACAAACAAGCATGGTAACATTAAGGGCTGGTCAGATAGCTCAGTGGATTAAAGCACCTGCTTAGGCAGATACAGGGCTGGCCTTGCCCCTGGGGTATGTGATTGAGGATTGATACTAGGCATGGTGGTGTGCGCCTGTAATTCCAGCACTTGGGAGGCTGTAAACAAGAGGATCACTATGAGTTGGACCTATGTAGTGAGACCCTGTAGACTCAGTAGACCCTGTACTAAAATACAAATAAAGAAATTAAAAGGAATGGTAACATTTAAAAAATAGCCTTTAATATATATTTAGGTTTAAAATTATATATAGTATTTAAAATAGCCAATCATTATAGTTGGGCATGATGGCCTGTGTCTGTAATCTCAGCACTTAGGAGACTGAGGGAGAAGGATCACTGAACGTCTAAGGCCAGCCTGAGGTCCAGAGTGAGTTCAAGGCCACATGGAACTGCACAGCCAGACCCTGTCTCAAAAACACAACAAGAAAAAGAAAACCTATTACAGTATTGGGGAGGAAATAGAGCAACTGGTATGTTTATGAACTGATTAGAGTATAAATTGTTACAATTTTTAGGAGCAATCTATTTTCAGTATCTCATAATATTGAAATTTATTTATTCACTGATACACTAAATTCTAGGTATGTTATTCTAAAGGAAGTTTTCGTCTGTATATAAGACGACAGGAATATTGACAGCATTATGAGATTTTGAGAATGAAAACCTGGGAACAAGGCAAATGTCCATTAAAAATGATGGATATTGTACAAATTAGACTCATTTTTATATAACAAATAGAAATGAAAATAAATGAAATATAGCTGTAGCTACAATATTGAGGATGAGTCTCATAAAAATGAGACAATTTTTTTTTTTTTTTTTTTGGTCTTTTTGAGACAGGGTCTCATTAGGCAGTTCAAGCTGGCCTTGAGCTCATTTGGTAGCCCAGGCTGGTCTTTAACTCACAGCAATCCTCCTGCCTCAGTCTCCCAAGTACTGGGATTCCAGGCATGTGCCATCATGCCCAACCATGACAACAAATTGCAGAAAGATATGTGCAGTGAAAAAAAATCACATATAACATCGCATCTTACTATGGAGGCACTTTTAGATATAACAGAAGTAAAATACATATGTCCTGGGGAGTGATAAACATCAAAATCAAGATAGTTTCATCACTGAGGAACAGGAAAGCAAATAGGATTAGGAAGGTTACACAGATTTCAGTCATATGTGAGATTTTTAAAAAGTGGGTGCAAACCAGGCATCATGATGCATGCCCATAATCCCAGCATCAACAGGTGGAGGCAGGAAAATTGCAGTGAGTTGAAGACCAGCCCGAGACAGTGATTTCAAGGCCTGTCTTAAGCAAGGCCTTGACTCTTTTGTGTGTGTGTAAACTAGAAATATTTCTTCACACAATTTTTTTTACAAAAATCATTCCATTCTATAAACTGAAGAACTAATAGAAGGAGGTATGTTAGCACTGGACTGCAGCACTCTACAGAGGCTGAGGATGTAGCGGTGTCTGGCACACAGTAGGTGTTTCACACCTACAAGCTTTGTTTGCCACTCACTGCCATCATCATCATGAAGACAAAGCCCAAAGATATGGGGGCGTTGTGTAGAAATGTTAAGCCAGAGCGCTCTTGCCTGGTGCTTTAGCCCTATCTTGGCCACAGATAGTTTGGAAGGAATTAGAGGCGCTACCCTAAAGGCAAAACGGCTACATAAATCTCTAATGACTCATTCCCAACTCACACAGCCCTACCCCAAACATACCTTTTCTGTTTGCACTTGAAAAAATTCAAGGACCTTTTCTCCCTTATTGATTTGCAAGTTGCATATTCTGAGCTAAATATTAATAAGTTCATGTTACAAAATACTCCGGGGTCTCTCCCAAGAGCTCCAAGGAAGGAAGGGCAGTTGAGCATTCCTGAGCATTTAGCTGAATACAGAGGCTAAATCAGAGAGGTTCCTAATCTGGTGTTCATGAACTTTAGAAAATCGCGTTAGACAGCTTATAACTGAAGGAATGCTTTTCTAAGTAGAAGATCAGCTCTTTTTTCTTTCTTTTTAGCTCTATTTTCTAAAGCCATGAATTCCCCCCAAAATTTCAAAAACATTGGTCAGATCATTTGCTTAAAGTCTAAAGTCACATAGCCTTGGTTCCTGATGGAGTCCTGACCCAACTACTTTTTCCCTACCTCATGTCCAGAATTTGGTTTATTATAATCTATTATCGTTATAATTCAAGCGAAGGCAATTATTGGTAAAATAGTGTCTGTCATGCTTACTGACAGCTAAGATGGAAACATTGGCTAACATCTTACTTGGGCCAAATAGCACTGTTTGATTCAGCTGGTGGGTGTTACTTTTCTGATGGACAAGGCAAGAACTGTTTCTACAAGAACTAGTGAACTTGCTACACAGAAATGAACTTGGTGCGGCAAAGATGTGCCGCATTTTACACGCATCAAGCATACAATAAGCAGGAAGCCTGCACAAGTCTGTTATCCCAGCATTCTGGGAGACTGAGGCCAGAGGATCTTAAGTTGAGCCTTGTCTCAAACAGTGAAAAGGGCTGGAGACGTAGCTCAGTGCCAAGGTCTTGGGCTCAATCCCCTGCATCACAGCGGTTAAAAGAGCGCAGAGGCATAGATAAATCTAGGTTTGAAAGTGTAAGCGAGGACGGGATTTTCATTTTCCCTGGGCCAGCCTATGTCAGCGGGCGTCTTCTCTCCCCAGATCACTTCCAGCTCAAACCCCGGACAGACATGGGTAAGGCTAAAACTGTAAGATACTGGGCATCCTCGCACGGCTTCCTCTTCCAACAGCAATGCACTGGTCGCTGCCTCTGACCATCCCGGATCCCCAGAGCCGCCACAAAGGAACGGCGCCTGCAGCCCAGCTCTGGGGAGCGAGCCTGCAGCGGCGGGCCGGGAGGAGGCTTTGGAAGCGGACGTCCCCGGCAGGACTCCAAGATCCTAGCTTACACTTAGTAATGAAAGAAGGCGGGCACCTCCCAAAGCCTACTGAAAAGCTACTCGACCAGTTTAGCCGGGGCGGGGCGGCAGCTCTCGCTGGGGTGGGACTCAGACCGGGTCCCAGCTCCGCCGGGGAACTTCCGGCCCAGTGACATCACGTGACCGAGCCGCGCCCGGCCCTGCGCATGCGCACCGCTCGGGGCGCTGAAATTCAAATTTGAACGGCTGCAGAAAGCTGAGTCTGACACTGGAGGGTGAGGAAAGAGGAGCGCTGGTGGAAGGCGAATTCCCCTCTTGGGATTTGCTTTCTCCAGGAGACACACTGAGCTCCAGACTCACTTTTCTTTTCCTGAATTTGAGCCACCCTTTCTGCCGTCTCACAGTGGACACGCGACGCCTGGGGCGATGGACCCATTTACGGAGGTGAGTAAATCTGCGGCCGCGACCAGCCATGACCCCTCTGAGCGACCCCCACTCTTTCCCCCGTCGCTGTCACCCGCAGCCCACCCGCCCGAGAGCGCGTGCGCGCGTCTGCGCAGTGCGTGCGAGTGTGCGGGGTTTGGCGCCCCCCGAGCTGGCGCGGCGAGGTGCGGTCGCAGCGGCCGGCGGCTTGACGTCTCCGGCTTGCCTGCGGCGGCGTCGCCGCTCTTCCAGCTTTCCGTCTGTCTTAAACGGCGTTAGTGCAGAAGTTGTTGCAGCCCCTGTTACTGCAGCGGCCTGAGGAGCCGCGTCCCCGCGCCCTCGTCCGGGTCTGTCTCCCTGCTGGGGCTCGCGGCGCAGCCGCGCTGGAATCGCCGGCGGGGTGACGCCCAGCGCCCGGGGCTGCGCGTGCGGCCGCGGCCTGGAGGTGGCGGAGGACGCCACGGGGGGCTTCAAGCGCTTAAGGTCGCTGCTGAGGAGAGGCGGCGCGGTGCCTGGTCTTTGGATCTTCGCGCGTACCTCTGCTAACTCGCGAAGTTCCGTACACGAGACGAGCGTCTGGATTCAAAGTAAACAGTACTGCCTAGCCCAGTGTGTGAAACCAAGATTATAGTCCAAGACTCTTAGTCCAAGATTAAAAACAACAACAAAAGCAACCAAAACACCTAAAGATGTAATCAGGTTTTGTGGAATGTTAACGCCAAGCAATACCTTTCTTATAGTGTGGACTACGGTCTCTGTTGTGTGTCATGCTGAATTTTGAGAATGTACATCCACACCTGTTCTGCTGGTTTGTGTACACCTTTTTATTTTACTAAATTCCTCTTTTCTATGGGCTGTTGTGCAACGTCGAAACTGCTGGGTTTTTCTCTTTTTTTCCTATCTTTTTGGTGCGTTGTTACACTAGACTAACACTTAAATACTGTAGAATGGCATAATACAGTCCTTCAGGAGATTGTAATTACAAGTCCATAAAGGTTTCAACAGTTACAAGTTTATTTGTATTCAAAGACATTTTTTTTGTGTCAAATTTTCATTCATCATTTTGAAAGCATCAATTTGTTCACCTCACTTAAAAATTCTAATAAAAAAATCCAAGGCATATGTTTTATTAGTTGTAAAGAATAGGGCTGGTGGTACACCTAATGTCTGTCACTTACATTGAAGCTAAAAGGCATGTATTATGTTATGTAGAGTAGATCTCCTAAAGACAAGGTTATGTGTTCTCCTTGGTAACTGACAGGAAAGAAACATTTTGACAGTTGGCTAAAAAATTGTTCTTCATCTTGTTTAAAAATGTCATTCTAAAGAGAGTGGAAATCTCAGTTAAAAGAATCTTTCTGTTTAGATAATTTCAGAGTCCAGTAAGTCCAGTACTTACAAATGTTTTGGTTTAATAAGTATCACTTATATCATGAAACGTTAGCTCAGTTGCAGTTGGAATAACAGCTTTCTCGTCTTTGCCTTAATTGGTAACAAGTGAACTAGTTGAACTAGGTCCAACTTCTAGGTGCTTAATGATGGCATTGGTAACATTTTTGTACAGTGCAATGAATTTCTGGTACATTTTCTTCTCAAAAAAGAAAAAAACATTTAAAGTCATTATAGAGTGACAATCTCAAGAGCTTCTTCCTCAAAACCACTAAGTGACTTAAGAGAATTTTCTTAGTTTTTTCCCCAGGTGACCAGTGCCATCCTGCAAATGGGAAAAGAATGAATTTATTTCCATAAATCCTAGGACACATTCTGATTCTCTTGGTAACTAATCTGGAAGGGTTACAATCATCTTAAATTCTCTCTTCTTCAAACAAGACTTCCGCGTTAGTTCTTCCCACCACCTCTGCTACTGTCTAGCTCTTTGTCAGTCTTCTGGCCTTTTCTGCTTGGTGAGCTGTGACTGGATCACCGTTTGCAATTCGATTCTGCGCATCTTACTTGCGTACAATTTCTTGAGAATGTGACCTTTTTGAAGGAAGGGGCAGTTCTTTGCTGTTGAGAGGTATTTTCATCAACATCAAACACAACTAATAGTATTTTGCGGAATTAACACAGTGGACAGCCATTAAGTATGTACAAATTATTTTGTAAATCTGTTAGAACATTTTAGCGATTTTTTTCTTGGCTAATGAGAATTTCAAAATACCTAATAGTAGAATAACCCAACTCACTCATTATCTAATTTTGTCCATTATCAACATGCCATATTGTTTTGCTTTATCCTCTCTCACCTACCCCACTGCATTGTGAAGCTAATCCTAGACATCATATACAGTGGTACCTTGATTCATGAACTTTAATGTTGCCACGATTCTGGTCACAAACTATTGAATGTGAGCCAAATCAAATTTCCTCATAAGGTCATCAGTGAACTTAACTATTGAATTTGATTCAGTTCTGGTCTCATTTGGTTTGTGAGCAGAATTGTGGAAAGAATTAAGTTTGTGAACCAAGACATTAACGTAATTTCATACAGGAAATACTTTAGATACTGAAGACTTAAGGCATAATCATAATATTATTATCACACCTAAAGAATTGAAAGAAATCTTGTAGTATAGAATAGTCTGTGATTCAGATTTCCCCAAGTATAAAGGAAATACTTTTTATGTAAGTATAAAAATTATATATTTTTATACTTTATCTCTTTAAGTCTGGATCTGGACAGAGTCCACAGGGCAATGTCTAAGCAGTTCTTCATGAATCAACCATAAATAGACAAAAGACACCATCTCAATGATTCAGGGACTAACAAGCAGTTGTGGCTCAAGTGTATTATGATCAGCTGATAACATTAAAAATTTTGTTAATGGTATGAAGTTGGGCTTCTGCTTACAGTAAGTTCTTTTTTTTTTTTTTTTTTTTTTGTGGAACCAGGGATTGAACTCAGGTCCTTTCGCTTGCCACGCAAGTGCTTATTCCACTGAGCTATCTCCCTGGCCGCCAACAGTAAGTTCTTAAAAGGAGCCGTGGTTTAGTAAGAGGCAGTTTTAGTAAAATGGTTAGGAACCCAGACCCTGGATCCTGGATTTGAATCTAGTTTTGCCACTTAGCTGTGCGACTTGTATTATTTAGCCTGTGCCTCTGTCTCTCATCTGTAAAGTAGTAGAAGAAACAGAACTACCAAGTAAGGTTTTTATTTTTTAAAATTTTATTATTATTGTTATTATTATTTTATTTTGTATTTTAGGGAAGGGTCTACAGGGTATTCAGGGTCTCACTACTAGATTGAACTCCCAGTGATCTGCCTGTTTACAGGCTCCCAAGAGCTGGGATTACAGGCACGCACACCACGCCCAGTCTCAATTGCTGTCTCAGCATGCCCTGGGGGCAGGACCGGCACTACAGGCCTGGGGATCGAACCCCCACAGCCCCTGTGCCTACCAATAAGGTTTTTAAAATCAAATACATTTTATGTGCCAGACAGTCAGAAATACTTTATGTTAAGTCCAGTATAGGGTTGGGGATGTAGCTCAGTGGAACAGCACCTGCCTGATAAACATGAGGTTGTGAGGTCAATTCTGGTACCGAAAAAAGAAAAAAAAAGAAAGAAAAATAAGTTTAAATCCTGCATAATTGTTACATTATTTTTGTACTTGTTAGATGAATTTAAAACCAACTTTCTACTTTTAATATTGGTGTAAACTCAGTTTGAAGTGTCATCAAAGGTGAGAGTCATTCCATTGCAAGACTAGTACAGGGAAACCCAGAGCTTCGTGTGCCAAGTCACAATTTTTTCTTTTTTTTTCTTTTTTTTTTGAGACAGGATCTTGCCACATAGGTCAGGCTGGCCTCCAACTCACAGCATCAGCCTCCCGAGTGCTAGGGTTACAGGCATGTGCCACCAAGACGACCTGCCACAATTTTCTATATTAAAACTTTAAAGGGATAAAATATAATTAAAATCCTTTGGTGTGACTGAATACTTTATTAGCTGCTCTGATAGCTGAGGCAGGAGGATTTCTTGAGCCCAGGAGTGCAGTCAGCCTGGGAAACGCTGGAACATTCATCTCTTAAAAATTAAAAGAAAAAAAATATTCTGAAGGCATTGTTTAAAATTGTGAGAACCTCATTTTTTTCTGTGCATGCAAGCTAAGTATAAATAAATAAGGAAAAGACTGCTACTGTTTTTAGTGGAGTTTTTCTTTCCAAAATAAGTGTCTGGGTTGTATTTAAAAATCCTTAAATTCCTGATATATTCTTATTAGTAATGACTACTTACACTTACTGAGCTGTTGATTTTATGTTCTTTTGATAGTCATTTTAAAAAAATTAATGAACTTTGGTGTTTATCAGCTTGATTTATTGTGGTTTATCTATAAATCTTTAAAGTCTGGGGATTGCTGGGTGCAGTGGTGGCTCATACCTTTAATTCCTGCACTTGAGAGGCAAGGCAGGATGAGTTCTAGGCCAGGTTAGGCTACACGGTGAGTTCAAAGGCCAGTCTGAACTGTATAGACAGACCCTGTCACTAAAAACCAAAAAAAAAAAAAAAAAAAAAAAAAAGAAAAAGAAGACCAGCCTGGAAAATTTTGAATCTAATGCAAACAGTACAACACTTAATGTTTGAATGGCAAAAGCACATTCTTTTGTTGTGACCTGCCGGTCCTGGTAACTGAAGCTATTCTGACTCATAAGTATTCTAACGACTAGAGTGGAATGGGGTGTGGCCGGGAGCGAAAGCAGTCAGGCAGTTGGTGTCTGCCGATGATACCAGGGGGAATATTGTCAGTTTTGAATTTTGTAACAGTATGATCACATTTTAGTTTGTTGAACAAGACTTTATTTACAGGGTGAAATCTTGTGTTTTAGAAAACATTAGATTCATAAACTACTCTTTCAGTGACACAGCACCTTGATTTTAGTGTCCCTAATTTTAATGAACTTTAAATCAGAAGTCTAAGAAGAGAGTTGAGGCTTGTTCCAAATTTAGCACATGTTCCTTATGCATGCTCAAAGGATTCCTTAAACATTATTCCATTTAAAGAGTTAGATCAAAAGTCGTTTAATTCCTCAATTTGCACTATTATATCTTTAAATATAGGATGGTTATAATCTGATTCCCTCCTTTCGTTGTGTATATTTGAAAGAAAATAAATTGTTTTATACCATGCTGGTCAAATAGGAATACCATTTAATTCAGGTAAGAAAAGAGAAGTAATCATGATTTTATGGAATGCCTAAGATTTGGATTTAAAACTATATCTAGATGTTTATTTTATTTTTATTTTTGGAGACAGAATGTCACTATGTAGTTCAGACTGGCCTTGAACTCACTGTGTATCCCTGGCTGGCCGTGAACCGCAGTGATTCTCCTGTCAGCCTCACAAGTGCTGTGATTATAGGTGTGCGCCATCATGCTAGCTATGGGTGGATAATTAAATAAAACATGAGGTTAGCATTTCTTTCTTTTTCTCGTAGGAAGAGTCCTATGAAAGGACTTTAATATGTTATCTCTTGCTACTTGCCCTCATCACAAATCCAAGGGGCTGTATTAGTTTGGTTGCTGTAATAAATCACTACAAATTTAGCAGCTTAAAATAAAGCATATTTAATTATCTTTTAGCTGTGCAGGTCAAAGGTCCGAAGTGGATTTTTCTGGAGTTAAAATCCAGGCGGCTTCAGAGGAAAATATGTGCCTGCTTTTCCAGCTCTGGGGAGCCCTCTTGCTCCCTGGGTGTGGTCCCCTTCACCTTCAGAGCCACCAGCCACCTACTTTATCCTCTTTCTATCAATGTATCTTTCCCAACTCTGACTTTTCTGCCTCTGTCCCTCTTTTCCTTTGTAACCTGGGCGATTACTTGGGCCCACCCAGATAAACCAGGATAATTTCTCCAAGATTCTTAATCACATGAGCAAAGTCCCTCATGCCGTAAGGTAACAGCTACAAGTCAGAGGGTTAGGATGGAAAATCGTTATTTTCCTTATCAGATTGACGTAAGAAACACTTTGTTTCTCAGGATTCACTGGGTCGCAGTTTGTATTGGGCTCAGCTGGGCTGTTCTTCAGCTTGTCGTGCCGGGAGCATAAGGATGTGCCTGCGTTCTGGCAGTGGCCCGGGACCGAAGCATGTGCCTAGGCGCATGCTGGCTGTCAGTGGAGTGGTGATTTGCAGCAGGCTAACCCTGGGATTTCTCAGGTGGGGCAGCAGTCTAAGAGAGGGAGAGCAGAGAGCACAGTACTCCTTCAGGAGGATAAGAAGTCACACAGAACGCTACATTGTCTGTGCCATTTTTTTATTGGCCCAGGTAAATTGCAAGGTCAGCCCAAATTTAAGGTTAGGGAAACTTATTATACCTTTTGGTGGGAGCAAGAATTTATGGCCATTTAAAATATTTTTGTTGTTTCGCTTTGTTTTTTTTTTTTTTTTTTTTTTTTTTTTTGAGACAGTTCAGGTTGGCCTTGAACTCACTATGTAGCCCAGTTTTTTTTTTTTTCCCGAGCTATCATTTATTAATCAATTAATTATTATTATTTTTTAATGCTTGCATTCATTTATTTACTTAGAGATAGGCTCACACCCAGGCTGGTTTTGAACTCACAGCAGTCCTACCTCAAGAATGCGGGGATTATAGGCATGTACTGTCTCACCCAGCCCTAGAATCTTGTGATTATCCTTATGCCTTATTCCTTAATATTCTTAAATCTGTGATGAATTTTTTTTTAAACCAGAGCTATCACTCCAGATATATTTGGCCCAGTTGAATTATAACAACTCTTCTACAGTTTTTAAGTTTGTAACTATAGATACACTAATCATTTTTTTTTTTTTTTTTTGCATGGAACCAGGAATTGAACTGAGGCCCTTGTGCTTGCCAGGCAAGCGCTTATTCTACTGAACTATCTCCCAGCCCCTAATCTGAACTTTTTATAGGTCAATTAGCAGAGATCTCTTATAATAAAAATCAGAGGGAATAAAAACCTTTTACTCATGATCTATATTTTCTTCTATATTTTAATTTGCTTTGTTTTGGGGCAGGGTTGCAGGGTCTTACTATGTAGCCCACAGTGACCTTAAAGTCATGGCAGTCCTCCTGCCTCAGCCTCCCAAGTGCTGGGATTACAGATTGCACTACCACACCCAGCTTCTGTATTTCATTGTATCTTAATAATTTTGGCAACTCCATGCCTTCTTCTTTTATTTAGCCTCAGACTCAGTCATCTCTGTAACTTCCATCATCTGCTCAGATTTTCACACTATTAAAATTTAACATAGTTGGTCCAGCATTGAACTTTCATAAGATTTGGTTCCAACATCTTGACAAGCTTTTAAATAATTTCCAACATTGTGTCCCTCAGTGCCCCAAGGGCCTGTTTATAGTCCTTATTTGCATTTTCAAAGGCCAAGTGTAACAGAATAATCTGTGTGTTTGTGAATGGGCAATCTGTCAGCAGACTGCCTCCAATAATCTAGCAAGGAACTGGGCCCAAGGCTCTTGGGAGTCCTGTAAAATACGTGAAAGACTGAACTCGAGTGCCCCCTTTGGGAGCGGTAGCCCAGGCCCATCTCATCATCAGATATATTCATGCGCACGCTGCATCAGGATATGTCAGTTGCCATGAGTTGTGCTTAAGGCCCTGCTCCTGGTGGCGTATCTTGCGTAATACTCTAGCCGCCCCATTTCTGCCTGCTTGTTCAGGGGTAAGCTCCTGTAGCTGCTCATTGAAATACAGATACTGCCCTGCCCCCTGCCGGTAGAAAGGAATAGACAAGGCGATTAATATCTTGGGCCATATGCACAGCTCCTAAAGTGAACTCTCAGAGCCCCTGTGTAAGTTGTCCCTGGACTCAAGTGATCCTCCCATGTCACCCTTCTGAGTAGCTGGGACAGCAGGCCTGTGCCACCACAGCCAGGTGGCCAAGGGAGGGGAGAAGGGGGAAGCTGCTTCCCTGCCGCAGTGCTCCCCTGCTGGCGAAGCGCAGCCACCTCATTTCACCCAGCCTAGATCCCACACCCTGATGATGACCGTGCCACTATCTTGGGCATGTTCTGTCATCCTCTAAACATTCGGGGGGGGCAGGCCACGAAAGTCTCTTTACTCTCTTCTTGGTTTTTCCTTTTTCCCTGCTCAAGGGGAACAGTAACACCAGCGGCAATTGCAGCGCATGTGGATTCCAACCCAGATTTCACCAAACTCCACGTTGAAAGGGTGTCTAGGCAATCTATCCTCCCCAGTATGAGAGACAGCTGTGTTAGGCTGAAATGTTGCAGTCAGCCAGACAGCTGGGACCTTGAGCGAGGTGGTGCAGAAGAGGAGGATGAACCCCAGTGGTGGCTGGAGACTGGTTTGAACAGCCGTCTTCTGGCTTCCTTCCTCAGGGCTCCTCCATGTTATTTCTGCCCCTCTCCCACTCTGGTGGGTCTTACCCTCCAGGTCTCAGAGCCCCTGTTCCAGGTGCCGGCTGCCCCCAGATACCTTTTATTAGCAAGCAAGAACCACAGGGGGATGGGTAGTACCCATGTAATCTCTGTAATGATTTTGAGCTTGGGGTGATGTTTGGTGAATCTGACCTTAATTACTTGAGATTTTACTTTTGAAATGTATTTAACTATTACTCTATATAATATTTAATGTTTTAGATGCCTGAATTTTGGTGAACTTTTGACTAAACTTGTATTTTAACACTTTGATATGTTGTATATGTAGAAACTGCTGGAAAGAACCCGTGCCAGGCGGGAGAACCTGCAGAGAAAAATGGCTGAGCGGCCCACGGCTGCTGCCCGGTCTGCGGCCCATGCCAAACGACTCAGGGAGCCTCTCTCAGAAGCAAGTAACCAGCAGCCCCAATCTGGTGGTGAAGGTAAAACACTTGTGGGGGGAAGTGACATTTGCAGCTCTTGAGCATAACATGCAAATGGGTGCTTGTGGACAAAGATCATAGCCACTAGAGGGCAGAGTGGCCTTGTATTTTATTTCAAGATGTTATATGAGGCCTACAACTCTCAGGCAAGAGCAGTTTCTTTTTTTTTTTTAAATTGGTACTGGGGATCAAACTCAGGACCTTGCACTTTTCAGGCAGGTGCTTCAGCCACTGAGCTATTTCCCCAGCCTTTTGTTTTTTTTTTTTTTTAAATTTATGTATTTGGTACAAGGTCTCTCTGCACATCCTGGACTCGTAGTGATCCTCCTGTCTCAGCTTCCCCAGTACTGGGATTACAGACGTGCAACACCCTGCCTGGTTTGGTGGCTGGCTCCATGGGCCTGGGTGGGGCCAACATGGCTGTGGTATCGGGGATCGAACCCGGCTTCTTGCCGCTTGCCGGACAGGTGCTTAGACCACTGAGCTATCTCCCTGGCCCAGGAGCAGTTTCTTTGTAACAAGTATTTCCAACTGATTGATTAAGCTTCATATTCTTCAATTCGATTATCCTTAAAACCCCCAAGGGAAGGAAACTAAAGAGTAACACACTGCAGTGGTGTAGAGTTTTTCACCCCAATAGTGACAGCATAGCTGGCTGCTCTGGTGGTGTCTCTGGCATGAACAGGGCAGCAGAAAGCAGCCTGGGTGTACATGCCCAAAGTACGTTTTCTTACTGCGTTAGCTGAACCAACTTGCTAGGGCTGGGCTCCATGCTTAGACTTTTTTTAATCTCCGGGAATGCAGGAATGAAGAAACAAAAACAAGCCACACACACATTTGCACCTGGAATCTTCTGTTCTTTCCCAAACCCTGGCATCTCTAGCCAGCATCAGCCTGTGTGCTGGAGCAATGATCCGGAAAATAGTCTGTGGATAACAACCTTCCTTAGTACTATTTTAACAAACTTAAAATATAGGAAAAGGGCATGACAGATGACAAAACCAGCGCTATAGAAAACAAGGAGGCAGGGGCTGGCTCATTTAGTTTGGAAGCCAGCAATAGAAGGAGAACATATTATCATATGTTGATACTTTTTGTTTGTTTGTGTTTATACATTTTGAAGGGAAATGTGCATCCTGCATTATATTTAATTGCATATTTTGGATATTAAGTAGGAGCCTGAGAACTGGCCCTAGTCTAGGGTCTTCTGTTTTCATTGTGATTATGGAGTACTTCTGAGAGTATTATATATTTGAAAACTAGTGCTGGGAACTTCATTTTTTTTTTTTTTTTTTTTTTTTTTTTTTTTTTTTTTTTTTTTTTGAGACAGGGACCCAGCCCAGGCTGGCTTTGAATTCATGGTGATCCTCCTGCCTCATCCTGCTGCAATCACAGGCATGCACCGCCATGCCCAGCTCTCATTTTGATATTCAAATGAAATTACTATCTTATAGAAGAACTGTACGCTTGGAGAATCCTTAATCTCCAGATGTTTCATATTAAAACAGGAGTGCTTTAAAAAATGATAGAAGAAGGGGCCGGGGAGATGGCTCAGTGGAATAAGTGCTTCCCTGGCAAGCGCAAGGGCCTGAGTTCAATCCCCAGTTCTGCCAAAAAAAAAAAAAAAAAAAAAAAAAAAAAAAAAGATGAGTTTCTAGACTGACCCATAGGTGAGCTAGAAAGGACAAGGAAGTGTTGTGTGTGTTTAGTTACATTGTTGAGCACAACCATGACTTCCACTGATACGACTGTGGTTACTGCCAAAAAGAACACTTGGAGATGCCAATGAGATGATCCTGTATGAAAGTCACTTTCTTTTAAACATATTTTCAAGAGATATATTGGAAGTCATTTTTAGGTGGAAATAATATGCCTTTGTTTGGACAGCTCCTTTTTATTATTTTTATTTTTGTGGTACCAGGACTCAAACTTGGGACCTTGCACTTGCCAGGCAGGTGCTTAGACCGCCGAGCTATCTCCCCAGCCCCTAAGATGTGAATTATTGATCACTGTATTGGTGACTTTGTCTGGTTTTGACCAGATAATTCAGTTGCTTATTCTGACCTCTGCCTCTCTTCTCAAGCTCCAGCCAGGTGCTCTTCTACCCTAGTTTATTATTATCCATGAAAGATTATTTCATATACAGAAATCCCATTTTCTACCCTCAGCTCAGTGTATGACTCGATGGGTAACTTTATTTCTCCAGACTTGACTTTTTTTTTTACCTGCATACGAAGTAGTGGGTAAAATCCCTTGCTGCACTTGCTTATTCAGTGTGCATTCGCTTTCTTTCCCTGTTGGAGGAATGTTAAAACTTCCTCTGTTAAACCCACATGCAGAAACTTGCAGACCACATAAGTAGAATTATGGCTATGTTTGAAGATACTAGTTAAATTTTCATTATGGGTTTTAAAGCATAAGTTACATGTTCATTTAAAAGAAGTCTTTCAAATTAGATTTCTGAGTTACTGAAAGAATGGCATTTTTACACATCTTGGGGCTAAAACATTTAAACTAAGTATTAGAGAAACATAATGTTTTATTAATTTGTTAAGTACCTACTTGAAGATTTTCATGCTGTGAGAAATTATAGAATTTACAATGTTTTGTTGTTTTTAATCCAGAGAAATCTTGTACAAAGCCATCACCATCAAAAAAGCGCTGTTCTGACAACACTGAAGTAGAAGTTTCTAACTTGGAAAATAAGCAGCCACTTGACACAGCTGCTGTGAAATCTTGTTCTCCCAGCCTTGCATCTCCTCAGGCACAGCCGGCAGCACCTGCTGGGCTCAGGGACTCCGTGGCTGTCCCAGCGTCACTGCTGGGCCCAGAGAGAAAGCTCAACCCGAGTCTGGAAGCAGCTGCAGGCTCCTCTGTTAAAACCCGCATGCAGAAGCTCGCAGAGCAGCGGCGCCGCTGGGATAACGATGCCACAGGTATCAGGGACCTGGGTGCAGTTGTCTGTAATCCTCTCCCTAAGATGGAACGTGGAATTTCAAAATTGTATCAGTTAATACATGAAAGTCATATGCTTTTGTTTTTCTATACTCAGAGCATCCTTTGTTTGCAAATGGTTTCTAGTACCAGTAGTATATTTATGAAGTGTTTATATTCTCATCGAAGTAGACAGGGGTTAGGGTCACTTCAAGCACCTGGCTAAGAAAGCTGCCCTTGGTCCGGCAGCTAAAATTCAGTCTACTAATTTGATGCTAGGACTCTAATTTCAACTGCCCTGACCTGGCTGTTGTCTCGCTGAAGCCAGTACCATGCAGATGGTTTATGGCAGTGATGACGCACCTTGTAGAGCTTTCAGTGATACAGGTAGCATGTTGTGGCAAGCGTGCCCTAGGTTCCCCGCCACTGGCTTAGGGTGTTGTTTAGTAAGGTGCCAGTTCCTTCTGGTAGTGGATGAGCTTAAGTGTATTTTTGTGTAAAGCCCAAGGAGTCAAATGAGTAAATATACCTACATGAACAGATGGATGTGCTGTTTTTGCCATTTCTCTTTTATAGAAAATATCAATGGGTATCGGAATGCAAATATTTACTTATTTATTTATGGCTGGTTCAGCCTGCCAAGGTGGCAGGGCTGGCATGGCATTTGAACTGTGGTCCCTGTGTACTTACTTAACTTGCCTAAGCAGGTGCTTTAGACTGCTGAGTTATCTCTCCGGCTCTCTTAATTTAAAAAGAAAAAGACGGTCATTTAACATGTGGTCAGAGACCAAAACATTCTAGAGTGTGAGGATTGCAGTGGCGTTGATTGTTTGGAAAACAGCTGCTAAAACATGCCTGCCTTAGTAACAGTACATCTCATGAAAGCACCATATCTTTTCTGATTTTAAGAAATGAGACTTCTGAATGTAATGTTGATGAGAATGTCTTAGTGAATCCTAAATAGGGCTGTGGGTATAAGCTCAAATGTTTTTTTTAGGACTTACACTGAAATATAATTTATAGTCTTCCTATAGAAACTAGCTAGATGAGCCAGAGATCTGTTATATGGGCTCCTAAAACATGACCATAAGCTCGTCTTCCTCTTTGACACAGTGCTTATTCTTTGAAAGGTGCTCGAAGTAGGTAGAAGGGTGTTGTAGCTGGTTACTGGCTCAGGCCTGTAATCCCAGCACTCTGGAAGGCTGAGGCGGGAATATTGCAAGTTCAAGCCTAGTTTGGGGGATTTGGTGACATAGTGAGCATGGCTGAAGGAAAGATTCAGGGGTATGGTTCAGTCCTCAATGGGCAAAAATAAGAAAAAGAAAAAAGAAAAGGTATTGGAGGGAAGGTGACCAGAGAAGCTTCTGTGGAGGACACAGAGGCCAAGAAGCTGGGCTTTGAAGGACACCTGGCTTTAGAGAATGGAAATAATCTAGGTAGAAAAAGGTGATGTAAGGGGCCTGGGAGATGGCTCAGTGGAATAAGTGCTTCCCTTTTTTTTGAATTTCTAATTTTAATTTTTTAAAGGAATCTGTACAATTTCTGTTGTAATTTGTATTTCCATGAACAATGTAGACATAATCATTTTCTGCCACAGCCTTGCAAGTGTTTGTTATTATTTGATTTTTTTTTTTTTTTTTTTTTTTTTTGAACCGCGGATGGAATAAGTGCTTCCCTGGCAAGTGCAAGGGCCTGAGTTCAATCCCCGGTTCTGGGGAAAAAAAAAAAAAAAGGTGTTGTACGAGAAGCCCAGAGATAAATAGCTGTATCATGCAGGTGGCAGGAAAGCAACACATAAGTTTGGAAAGGAATGACGGTCCTAGCAGAGTTTCCATCAGTTGGTATTTTAGAAGATCAAGGAGGGAGGAGACAGGGCAGGATCTGGAGGAGGAAGACCAGCTGAAAGGCCAGTGCGTAGCCAGGTGCTTGATCATGAAGGCCTGTGCCAGTGAAGGGGAGCTGGCTGTAAGCTTCGGAGAAAAAATCTACAGGGCTTGATTGCTGGAGGGTGAGTGAGAGGGAGGAAGCGGACGGCTGCCTGGCCTCAGGGCTGGGTAGTCTGAGACGTCGTGTTTGGGGCAACCTGGGCTTCAGGGGTGCCATTTGGGATGCGCGTGAGAAAGCCAACTGGGGCAGCTGTATGTGGGAGGCCATTGAGGATGGGTGGGCCCCAGAGACAAAAACGCTCAGAGATGATGTGATGAACAGAAAGGAAATAATATATTTTAGAAATGTTAAGAAATAGGAGACCTGCATGATACATACTGGTATCTAGTGATAATAGCAAACCAACTGCAGGGCAGAGATTACAGGTTTAATGGCGAGTGAATATTGTATAAGAAAGAGGATGCTTAGTTCTTTCTTTCTTTCTTTCTTTCTTTCTTTCTTTCTTTCTTTCTTTCTTCATACATGGGATTGAACCTAGGAACTGTGCTGGGGCTTGACCCTAGCCGTATGTATGTATGTATATATGGACATATATGTGGACGTATGTGTTTTTTAAAATTTTGAGATAAGGTCTCATTAAGCTGCCCAGGCTCAGCTCAAACTTGTGGCCCTCCTTCCTCCACCTTCCAGAATGCTACTACTGTAGGCTGCACCACCATGACTGACTGCTTATGTTATGTTCCAGATGAAAGGGACCTGAGCCTATTTATGTCCAGAGAGGACAGACTTTGTAGAAAAGAAGAGTGGTGATTTGGAGCAAGATTTCTGAAGAGGTTTTAGAGAGGGTAGGACTGAAATTAGGTGGGGGTGCAAGCCTTGGACAGAAGGATGATTACCTCTTCCTTTGAATTTGTGGCACAGGAAGTGCATGAACCTCGGCTTCCCTCTGTATCTATGTGCACACAAACCTAGAACTTTCTTCAGCTAAGTGTTACTATTTGGATTACCTACAGGCGAAATAGTTGTGCAGAAAAACTAACTTGGCCTGACTGTGCTATCTGAACAGTAACTACTAGCCTCATGTAACTATGTGTAAAATTAAGTAAAATTTAGGTTTTCAGTTAGCCCGCCACATTTCAGGTGCTCACTAGCCACATGTGGCTTGTGATTATTGTGTTGAGTAGCATAGATATAGGACATCTCCATCATCTTAGGAAATTCCACGCCACAGCATTGGTCTAGTTCATTTTTAAAACAAAAGTTCTTGTAGGTAGGATACATAATCTTAAATTAATGTAGTATTATAGCAGCATGAATTACTTCTAAAAATATAACCTAAACATTTGGTATGCTATAGCATTCATGATCTATCAGAAATTCAAGAAGATGTTAACAGTGTTTTCTTTTTTTATTTAAATATTTTTATTTATTTATTTTTTTTATTTTTCAACAAATATTTTTTTTTTTAACAGTGTTTTCTTTTAAAATTTGGGTAAGCATGGTTTGATTTGAAAAGATAACACATTTAAGTAGTGTGGTATATCATGCATGCAAGAATTTTTTAGTGGTTCTTAAGCCTACTAATCTAGTTTTAGCACATTCTATGGAATGCTCTTGTTATTGCACACTGTAAGAATAACTCTTCACCATTTTTCTAGAAACATTTTCAGATGATGTGCCCCCAAGCTCCCACCTCTCTCCAGTGCCATCCAAGGAAAAGGTTTCCTCCCCCCCCAAGTCTCCCATTTCTGGGGCATCAGCAGCCCCGATTGGGAGAAGGGGCCGCCTGGCCAACCTTGCTGCCACCATTTCCTCCTGGGAAGATGATGTAAGTTACTCATCTGCAAAGCAAAACAGTGGACTAGAACAGCCTGGTACCACTTGTTTATCCAAATTTTCCTCTGCAAGTGGAGCATCTGCTAGGATCAATAGCAGCAGTGTTAAGCAGGAAGCTACATGCTGTTCCCAAAGGGATGGCGAAGCAGCTTTGAACAAAGCCTCATCCTCCAGTGCTGCTGCTGCCTCTGTGCTTCACGCCTCAGTTTCCAGCTCTGTGGTGAGTTAATACCATTTTGGCCTTGGGAATCATTTCCTTTCTACTTCTTTTGCTGCTAGAGGCTATGATATACCTGTATGTAGGTGTGTATTTTATAGTGTGTATGTATGGTGTGCTTGTATGTATTTGTATGTATTTATATGGATTTTTAGGATACTAGTTTCATAGAAAGTGAAAATCATAAACTTGGTAACCTATCTTAAGATAAGTGGACATTTTGAAACTGAAATCACTAATTAAATGCTAATCTCAAGTTTCTAATGAGCGAGTCTCTTCTTGGTCAAAGGGATCACTGGAAGTGAATTTCCCCATTAGAATGCTTTGTGGATATGTGTAAGATACTACATTTATTTCTCAGAAGCCCTAAACCAGTGGGTAGATGCGTCCAGGATGGCAAATTGCTGAACAGGAATGTGAGGGGTGACACTTTCACTGTGCGTCTTTTTTTTTTTTTTTTTTTTTTTTTGTGCGTCCTTTTGAAGTGCTTGAAACTTTTGCTTTATACCTGCTTCATTTCAGTAGTTAACAGTCTGACAAGGAAGGAGAAAGAGAGTTGTGTTCCTCATGACTTTTAGTGTGGCGAGAGGCTCTGCACTTAGACCTGTGTTTGGTCCCAGTCTGCCACATAATCTGAAGTGTGATAGATTGACTTGGTATAAATAAAAATTACTTAAATATAGATTACTTAATTTTACAAAACCATATTTTTCTGTATGTAAAGTGGGGGAAGATAGGGTTACTGTGGAGGGTAAATAAGGCAGTATGCGTAAAGCACTTACTATAATTCCTGGCAGTATCCTAAGTACTTAAGAATTTCTTAGAATTAGGCATCAAGTACCTGATACTGTGAGGATCACTGATCTGAAAATCTGAAGTTGCAGTGCCTCAAAATCTGTGACTTTCTGAGCACTAACATGATATAAGTAGAAAATGCCACACCAACTAGCTTTCCCTCCTGAACTTACTGAAAATGTGTAAAATGACCATCGAACCACGACTCTAAGCTGTCTGAAACATAAATGCATTTTCTGTGTAGAATTGGGTTCCATTGCCAAGCTATCTGATTGCAAATCTTCCAAAACCTGAAGAATTTGAAATCTCAAATGCTTCTGGTCCTGAGCATTTTGGACAGGAGATACTCAACCTGTGTCTTGTGAGCTGTGTTAACTAACATACAAATACAATTGTTTTTGTAGGGTTCCCTGAGATATTATGAAGGTTGCTTACCCTAATTTGTATTGTGTTTCAGAAAGCTGCTGCTTCCCCTGTGAAGTTGTCAGCATCCAACACCAGTGCTAAGAACTGTGAACTACAAAATCCTGAGGTGCTGCAAAACACCGTTAGTCCTCAGCAAATTGAGGAGTCAAAACCTGCCAGGAAGTCCGCCTTATCCCAGGGAGTTGGGCCCAAAGAAGAGGGAAACAGAGAAATTTATCTGCAGTCTCAATCTAAAGACAAATCTACAACTCCAGGTTACGTCTTTTAAAAAAATCTAAAGCTGCTGCTCTCTATATTCAAAGTTCTATGCTCAGCAGTTTCAATATCAGGTCGAGGCTGGTAGTGTTGGTTTGCCTGGAGGCGTTCTCTGTTTTTTTATGTGGGAGGAGTGTACACAACTGGAAATCACATTTTAGGAGTTTAATGGAGAGACACTTTCGGAACCAAGTGTACAGTAGTGTTTCTCAGCCTTCACTCTGAAGTCACCCCACTAGCAGAGAACAATGAGCAGCCATTAAACTGACTCCACCGCCAGCTATATATTCATTTCTTTTTTTTGAGACAGTCTCACAATGTAGTCCAGGCTGGCCTTGAACTCACAGTGATCCTCTTCATTCAGCCCCCAAAGTGCTAGGATTATAGGTGTGCACTATGTCCAGCTCTCTTTTCTTATTTTCCTTCTTTCTTTCTTTCTTTTTTTTTTTTTTTTTTTTTTTTTGAGAGATAGTCTCAATAGGTAGTTCAAGCTGGATTCGAACTCATTATGTAGTCCAGGCTGGCTTTGAACTTGTGATCTTCCTCCCTCAGTTTCCTAAGTAGTGGGATTACAGGTGTGTACCACTACACTTGGGTCCAGTTAGTTATATTTTCCTGTGTGTACATTGTGTATGCATGTGTACATGTGGAAGCCTACATTTCTTATCTTGGTAAACTGATGCCCCATGAAAGGCCATGTTTATCTGTGGTAATTTATATCCTCTGGTACTTTCCACATACTATTGGCTAAAGAATGCAGGATTAAAAAGTGTGGTAGAAATATACAGTAATAGAATGTAATTTGAGCTATATTCCTTTTCATGGAGAAGATGATTTTAATTCTAAAATTTAGCTTCTTGAAAACATAGTCCTTCTAAAAGCTATTAGCACATAGGGGAAGTTGGCAGTAAGTTAACAGTAGGGAAGCTGGTAGTTATTGGTAAATGAAAACCAGCAATCAGTTTTCAGATGAACTAAAACAAGAATTTCTGTCTCTAGTACCATCACTGTGACCAAAAAAACAAAAGAAACCATAGCAAGATTCTCAATATGGAATAGGACTAATCCGTGCTAAAGACTAAAAGCTGAGATAAGAAACATTCTTAGTTCCAGGGTTTAGCCAGAGCACTTTACACTGTACTCTGTACAGGGCCTCGAAGATACCTAGTTTAGAGGTTTGTCTCCTAAACAGACCCCACTTGAGATATGGCATGAAGTGATTGTCAGTGACAGGTGGAGTCTTCACACTGGGCGCAGGCCAGGTTCTGACCTTTGCTTTGTCGCTCTGTAAATAAAGTTTTATTGGAACATAGCCACATCCATTTATCGTTGTATTTTTTTGTGGTTGCTTTTATACTGTAATGCAGAGTTAAATAGCTGCAGCAGAGACCATGTTGCCTGGAAAGGCCAAAATATTTACTGTTTGGCTCTTTACAGGAAAATATCTGTACGTGTCTTATACAGCTAGGTCTATTTTTAAATAATACAACTCTAGAACTCTTGATGGAGGATGTAATGTATACCCCGTTTGCCCTGCTGGAAATGTACTATATTTTACATCATTTCAAGTAAAACCTTACAAAATGAAGACTTACTTTTGGTAACATGGATAATCACTTTCTTTTGAGGGAGGAAGGAAAAATACCCAGATATTTACTTGTTTAATTTCGCGAAAGCAAGGAAGATAAATTGAACTATAGAAATGTAAATAGTTGGAAGTTATCATAACCAGGACACTTATTAGATTTATTTGTATACTACACTCAATTTCTTATCACTTAAATTTTGATTGTTCAGTTTGGAAGTTTTATCCCCACTGCTCTCTCTATGTTTTTAACATTTTAAGGGATTTTTTTGGTTTTTTTTCTGGCACTAAGCATTGAGCACAAGGCCTGTACATGCTATATTAAGTGCTCCACCATGAGCTACATCCCCCATAAGTTTTGTTTTTAAAATAAC